GAGTATAAAAAAACACTTGCTCATCCTAACCCTGTTAGGTTATCTCAACTTAATTTTGGATTCTGCAGAGTGAATTTTGATTGCTAGGAGCTGATTCCTTTTTATCCAAGCAGAAAGAATATGGAAACATTTCTTCCTTGCCCTTCACATTTGATTGATACTTTTCACTTTGAAAGCTAATTATATCTGATGTGAAGGAAAGATGGAATTCAGAAATATGGGTGTTCTCTTCATGAATTTTCACTTGGAAATTTCAGGTCATCTGTTCAGTTTTTTCATGCCTCAGTTTACTCATCTACCAGCCAAGGTGGTATTCCTGGTCCTCTAAGAAGAATGAGTGATGGCAGTGGTCTCCAACATTTTTGGCACTAGGGACCAGTTACACAGAAGACAATTTTTCCATGGACGTGGCCAGGGGAGGGCAGTGGTGGGGAGCAGGGCAGGCTCAGGCAGTGATGCCAGGGACGTAGGTACAGACGAAGCTTTGCTCACTTACCCACTGCTCACCTCCTGCTGTGCGTGACCCCATCCCCACCCCACTGCCCTTCCAAGGTTCATGGAAGGCGATTTTTCCATGGACAGTGGGTGGGGAGTGGGTGGAGGAGCTCTGCGGCCAGGTGCCTAACAGGCCATGGACGGGTACCAGTCCACGGCCCCGGGGTTGGGGACAGCAGTTATGGAACTGAGTCATTCTAATGCATGGTCTACAGAATCTCAGTCCAGGAAGGATCCCCAAGGTCACCCTGTCTGAACCTTCACTCATTGCAGGGACGCTCTTCACTGTGTCCCCAACAGGTGAGGCTCAGCCCCTGAGTCACTCTTCCCGGGACCAGAGCCTTCCTTATTCAAGGCAGCCATTTCTTTTCTGGGTAGGTCTAATTGTTAGAACACCTTCCTTCTACTCACCTTCCTAAGGTATCCACCTATTAGTTTCAGTTCTGCCTTTTGAACCAAAGCAAAACAGAAGGACCTTTTCCACATTCCAACTCTCCCGCTTTGACTTCTTTTATAGGCATATTTGTGAGTTGTTTGGGCTGTATTATAGGAGAGCATTTATGTTGTATAAATGCATGGCTACATTTGTCATGTTCACTCCTGTTACGAGTGAGCGCACAGTTAAACAAAGGTGTGTTCTTCTGAAGTGGGGAACCCACACCCGATTTCTATACCACACATCACTAAACCCTGCCTGGATGATAACTTTTCTCTCATCTGCAATGTTTACACAACTAATAAGATGGCTGCCTTTTAAGAGTCTGATCAGGAAGTAAAGGACCTACGAGTTTTCATAAGGCTTTCAGTTGAGACACCTGGGATATGCTAATAAATGGTAATGTTTAACATCAAGACACTACAGGACCAGTTAGGGGCTAGAAGAAGTATTGTTCATTTATTTGTTCAACAAATATTTATCGAGTGTCAATTGTGTGCCATGAAATGTTCTAGATGTTTTTATGACATCAGAGAAGAAGCAGACAAAAATCCCGATTCTTGTAAAGCTTACATTCTGGGAAAAATGTGCATTACAACATTATAATAAATAAGTAAATTACTTGTACAGTAACAGGTAGTAAACCCTTTAAAGAAAAAAGACAGAAGCAGATCGGGGTCAGGAACACGGCGGGGGGCGGGGGGAAGAGGATGGGGTGAACGTGGCAGTTGTGAGCACGGGGTCGGGTGGGCCTCTGGCAGAACGTGGCAGCTGGACAAACAGACTTGCGAGGAACAACTGGGGAGGGAGGAAGAAGACCAAGAGAAAGTCAAATACAAAACTGCTGTCTTGATCGTTTTGGAAGTCATAGTAGAAATTATGGAGGGCTGCCTTTAAGACGCTACATGTGATTTGGTCTTCGTAAACCTTAGCTTTGTGAAAGGAGATCTTGCCTTGGTGTGAGTGCGGTTTTCATGCAGAGAGGGCTGAGTGTGGATCATGCCCAGAGGGCAGAGTGATACAAAGCCAAAAGGTGACTCGTGAACTCTGGAAGACAAGAGGGGCAAACTACAACCCCAATGAATTAAGCAAGGCAAGAAGGAGGGGCCGCTCTAAGATGGCACCTCAGCAGTGCAGGACGGGAAAGAGAACCCCTCCCTCAGCCCCCGGCGTAACCAAAGACAAGAAAAAGGCAGAAAAAAGAATTCCTAGTCCTTTCTATTTTAACTGAGGGGGTAGTCAACATATACACCACAGGCTATATCTCTCTGAACTAGTCTAAAAGCAGATTAAATCAGAGAGAGAAATCAGGGAGGCATCCCCCCAACACAAAGACACCCTCCCCAAAATGAGCTGAGAAGGAGGTGTTCGCACAGTCTCTCAGTGTCTGTCACGGTTAGAAATGTGGAGAGTGTGTACCTAGGGCCTAAATCCTAAGGAAACTTACTGCTGAGGCGATAGATAGAACGTAGATTCAAAAGCACGCCTTGGGTCTAGAAATAGAAACGATGGGGGCTTTGTCAGAAGAAACCGTCCTATCAAGGGTTAAAGGTCTGTTGAAAGGAGATCAAAAATCAGAAGCACATGAAAGGGACTGTCTTGTTCTTTGAGTCTTGAGAGCCATCCCTGCGACAGATCTCGACCGTGGACTGCAGCCTGCCCTGATGTTCCCTCCAACCACAGGGGCAGCTTTCTTGGGCCCCGAAATGAGTTTGTGTGCTCTATTGTGAGGGAACTACAGAGACGCCAGAGAGGTGGGGGGCTTAGGTCACAGGGATGCAGGGTCTAAAGAATAGAATCCCCGCCCCATCCCCCCATGATGCTTCTACCCTCGAGAACCTGGCACGGCTGATTCCAATCATTAGGCACAAGTTTCTTAGGGACCTATGAAAATATGTAAGAATTGAAAAATTTACTGGCCCCTAAAGAAAACTATTAAAATTGAAATTAATAAATATTTCATTTGCAGAGAGGACATTATGATGACTTCAATTGCTAAATTTAGTATTAATAAAAATGACACTGCACTTGAAAACAATGTATAGATTTTCTCTTTTGCAAGAATTCCTAAGTAGGCACAAGAACTTGCCAGGAAACCACTGCCAATCATGATTTAAATTATTCATAGCCAAAAAATTTCAAAAGCAAAATTACGATTTTAAACTTTATTTTTGTAGCAAAAAAAAAAATCCCCTCTATGTTTAATGTGAGATTTGTGGGTACATTTTAATATGCGTGATATGGAGTTGGGTTAGGACCTCCAAAAGTAAGACAGTCTAGGACTGAGAGGTGGTGAACATCGTCCCAACCTGAGGTTGGGTTATATGTTGTATGTCAAAGGAACGGGCATCCGTTTAATTTGTGCAGGTGGGAAGCCAAAGGTATATGAGGATAAAATAGCAGTTCCATTATGGGGTTTAAAGAGAGGGTCTCCAGTCCACTCAGCGGGGTTCTGGGTTAGCAAAGCCACTTCGCTCCAGCTTCCTGGGGGCCAGCTCTGCCCAGCCTCCCACCCTCTTCCCCACCTCCCTCCTCGCTCCATAACGTGGCCTCATTCATTTTAGCTCCTTTCTGGAACAAATTCTCACACAGCAATCCTTTCCAGAATGCTACAGTAACAGAGTTCTCAAAGGCTTTGATTGATGGGGTTTGAAACACTCTTTCTTTTTGGAAATATTTATATTTGATCCCTTTTGGACACACTGCACATAACTAGAGCTTATCACATTGCTGGAAATTATGGGCAGACTCTAAGAGACAGGAACTCTGAGTCTGCCGAGCCCTGGGAGAGCAAAGATTAATATCCATTTGTGCTTTGCTGTCCTCAACCCCTGATAACTGTAAATAACGTTTGGAAAGATCGGGGTGCATCATGATCTATTACACGGTGGCGACGATTCTGGTTGTTATGTCTTCGACGGTGATTTATCATTCTCTGCAGTGACACAAATCACAGTCCTTGCCTGACACCGTGGACTGTATGATCTGCTGACTGTAACAGTGATGAATTTGTGTTTATAACATGACATTTTTAACCTGAGCTAGACCTGACCTCCTGCTCCAATTTGGAAAGGTACTGAAAATATATTTTTTCGTAAACCTCCTTTGGTTTTGCTGGTGTTATAATAAGAAACACTTTTCTACTTTTGGTGGGGGGGCGCTAATAAGTGGTGCAAATAGTGAGGTCAGATTTTAGATTAAAAAGTTTTCTCAATTGTTGTCTTACCTGTTATCCTTTTAGCATGAATAACATACGTGAGAGACCAGCACAGTCTTGCTTGTTCCAGCAATCAGCATCCTCGGAGCTATTAAGAGGAAGGAGGCCTTAGTAGTTTGCTTTTTCAAGCTCCGAGAACCAAGAAAGTTCCACTAATCTCTGCCTGGGTCTTTATTTGAAGTGCGCGTGAGCTCTTGTGGGCAAGTGTTTGCGTCTGTGCGTACATACACTCGTCCCATGAGCGGAGCAGACAACTGGACCTAGACCTTTCCAGGCTGCCCTTTGGCGCAATCGTTTTCTCTGAAACAGAGTCCAGGGACTTACAAGGGTCTCGAGGAGGGTCTCCACGAAAACTCTGTTTTGTTATTTATTTATTTATTTTTTTGACCACATTCCTTTCTGTGAACTGTGGGAGCTGTACGAAATAACATAAAATAAAAATGAAAAAATAATTGAGAATTTCATCATTCCTCTCTGAAATGATCTTTGTGTTCTATTCAAATTGATGGCCTTTTTTTCATTCATATGAGGAACCCAGGGATCTTGGATTAAGGAATAATATTGGAGTTACAACTATCACATTTACATTGGTAACTTAGAAAACAAATGCATTTTTAGACAAAAACATTTTTTTTTAAAAAAGGTATTTGTCCTACATGCTCAGTTTTGAGACAGAAAACGCAATAATGCTCCAACCCTGGCAAAGCAGTGAGAAGGATGAACTTTTCCCCTAGTGTCCCACCTTGATCCGAGCATTGCTGCCCCCACCCCCACCCCGGGCCACCGGCTCCAAGCTTGCTTTATCTGATGCCCTCATGGCCTCCTCACTCACAAATTGTCCCCTGTTTTCAGATGCCTGTCAACGAGCTCAGATGACAAATTTGCCTGTGATAATGTGCTGAAGCAATGTGCATTTTAGCTGAAGCCTCCTGGAATCCACTGTTGTTGTGCTACCGGAGGCCTGCGGTGACTCGGAGGGCGGGATTTCAGGTGAGCGTGAGCACAAGGAATAGTGAAGGCACACTGGTATCTGCTAAGTCCCTCATCTCCCCTCACAGAGAAGGCACAGTGTCTTATCCTGCCTTAGTTTTCTAATTTTTTGATGTTGAGAGTTCCGAGTCACTCTCAAAATAATGGAAATTTCACAAGTATCCAAAGTGACATGGCTTTGCTTATTTCAAACCCAGAAGAAGAGAAATGACAATGAATTTTCAATACATTCCAGTCCTTTGCACAGTACTTTGTCACATATAGTGGGTTATTAATACCACCCTGGAGCCTTGGCACACACAGCTCTTAGCTACATTCTACTTTTTCATAAACATCTTATCTCATCCAGCCTAGCATAACTCCTAATACTTTACAGAATCATGAATTCAACACTCCACCTTCACTGGATAGTTCTTCTTTTTCAAAGCCCAATCTTTCTTAAACTCACTTTATATTACAACAACATTAATTGCTATTTTATGCACATACACAGACTTCTTCACAACTTTACTTCTCGGTAACTTACAAGTGCGCTGGTTGACAGCATTCTCAATTAGCAGAGTCATTTCCATATCCTGGACATATACATTGATCAGAAAAGATGACAATTTATTTTTAGACAGACGCAGACTGCATAATTTAAATATATTTCCCATTTGGCAAAAATGGTGTTGTAGCTAATGTATGTACAATATTTCCAAAAACATTGGTACTTTCCCATAAATATCTTCCATATTTTTTTTCAGTGAGTAATAAAAAAGGTTGAGGTGGGATGTGTTTTATCCCACCACATTATATCATTCCTATTTTTCCTCTTTGTTGGATGGCAATCAGGGGCCCTGATGCCAAGCTTTGGAAGCAACAGCATCTGGCTCCTTGGCAGATCCTGCAGGCAGACTTGTTGCCAGCCTCTAAGCTGTGTCTGGGTCTGTTGCATGGTTTGGCTGCAGATGGACTCTCTGGGTTGCCTCGTGCTTCTGGAAGCCAGTCCTGGCTTTCCTTTGATTCTGAGGACTTTACTCATTTTTATTCATTTGTGAAGAAGGGCCCATCCAAATGCTTTATGAAACCAACACTGGAGAACATTAATGGATCAAATTTCGCCTTTGAAAAGGCAGAGGTCAGGGTGTATTTGGGCAGGAGACATGACGTTCTGAAGATGGGTCTACATATGTACATGCTTCTTCCCATGAGCTTCTATTCTAAGGAGCTTGGAAGGAGGCCAGTTATGTGTTGCCTTGTCTCCTTCCCCCCGGGTGAGGCTGTGTGGTTACCTGGAAAGACAGAAACATGGGAGAGGTCAGACTTCCTCAGATCAGTAAAACCTCCTATTTCTTTGTCTTTTCAATGAATCAGACCCCGAGGAAGTGAACACACATATGGAAGCCTTCTCCTCTTCTCTCCCGTACCATGTTATTGTCCATGAGTGTGGGAGCACACCACGGCTAGGAGGAAGGGTGGACTTGAAGTCTTTTTATTTTTTTAAGACTCTCCAAGCCTCTGACGTTAAGTCTTAATTTAGTTTGAACTAAACACACCCATTAAAGCCAGATCACTTCCGTTAGTGTTCCCTGAGACTCCGGCCTCTAGGGAAAGGCTTTATAATTTTCTTAGAATCATGAAACCCTATCACCACTGATTGTATCATTCCAATCCACTAAAAAACTCTATGCCCTGCACACACATCCACACCCATATCTTAATTAAAAAATAACTTATTTTTGTTCTGAGGATTATTATAAATTTCATGATATTTTTGAGTGCCTTCATTCTCTCATTGATTCCCTTATTAGCAGCTATTTACTGGATACCTGCTATTTGCTAAACACAAAATCCTGCTCTTACAGAGTCTACTTTCTACTAGGGGATGCTGGGAAATAAAACAATTATCAAATCAATTAACAAGATCATTTTAGATAGTGATAGCCCTATTAGAAAAATTGAATAGTGTTTTGATGAAGAGTGTTTATAAGGTTGATTGTTCCCTCTTCTTGATATATATCCTAAGGAAATAAAATCACTCATATTGAAGAGATATCTACATCCCCCTGTTCATTGCAGCATTACTCACAATAGCCAAGCTATGGAAACAACCTGTGTCCATCAACAAATGAATGGATAAAGAAAATGTGGTATATACGTACAATGAAATATTATTCAGCCTTAAAGAAGAAGAAAATCTTGCCATTTGCAACCACATGAATGAACCTGGAAGACATTATGCTAAGTGAAATAAGCCAGACTCAGAAAGACAAATACTGTATGATCTCATTTATGGGACTTTTTAATAATCGAAAAAAAGTCAAACTCATAGAAACAGGGTAGGAGATAGTTACCAGGGGTTGGGGGTTCGGGAAAATGTGGAGATGTTGGTCAAAGGGTACAAACTTGCAGTTGTAAGAGGAACATATTCTGGAGACCTAATGTACAGCATGATGACTATTATTAACAATAGTTAATAATAATGTATTGCATGGTTACATCTTGCTAAGAGAGTAGATCTTTTTTTTTTTTTTTTTTTGAGACAGAGTCTTGCTTTGTTGCCCAGGCTAGAGTGAGTGCCGTGGCGTCAGCCTGGCTCACAGCAACCTCAAACTCTTGGGCTCAAGCGATCCTGCTGCCTCAGCCTCCCAAGTAGCTGGGACTACAGGCATGCGCCACCATGCCCAGGTAATTTTTTCTATATACATTAGTTGGCCAATTAATTTCTTTCTATTTATAGTAGAGACGGGGTCTCGCTCTTGCTCAGGCTGGTTTCGAACTCCTGACCTCGAGCAATCTGCCGGCCTTGGCCTGCCAGAGTGCTGGGGTTACAGGCATGAGCCACTGTGCCTGGCTGAGAGTAGATCTTAAGTATCCAATACACACACACAAAAGTAACTATGTGAGGTGATAGCTTTGTGTGGCAATCATTTGACAATGTATATGTGTATCAAAACATCATGTTGTACACCTTGAATACATACAATTTTTATTTGTCCATTTATATCAGTAAAACTTAGGGTAGGGGGAGAAGATAAATGGGGAAGGATTGTTCAAGGAAATGACATTAGATCTAAGACCTAAACCACGGAAAAGAGCCAGCTATCATCTTGGAGGAACTGGAAGAGGAGATAACAAAGGCAAAGGCAAAGCACTATTGTGGAATAATCTTGGCACATACGAGGAACAGAAAGACATCAGATATTATATTAGAGAGAGAGGAGAGAGTTGTAAGGATCCCATTAGAGAGGTAGGCAGGGGCTGGATCGCATAGAGCATGCTCCATCAACGTGGGTCATGGTAAAGGGCTTAGAGTTTATTCTCAGAGCAGTGGGAAGCCATTGGTAGTTTTAGGTAGGGCAACGATGTGATTAACTTACATGTTTAAAAAAGGTCACTTTGGCTACTCTCTAGAGGAGTAAGAATAGAAGCAGGGAACCAGTTGGAAAATTGCTATTAATACAATAGTGCAAAAATTGGTTTCAGATAATGATAATAGTACCAATATTTATTGATCTCTTACTGTGTGTTAGGGACTGGGCACACTTTATCTTAGGTAATCTTCACAAAAACCCCTGATTTAGGAATTAACACTGCCATTTAGTAAGTGAAGATACCATAGGATTTCAACTGATATATGTCTAATTCAGGTAGGCAAGCTGCTTGCTCAGGCTGTGAAACCAGACCAGAGTAGAAAATAATTTCTTTATTTTTTCTGTATGCCTTCAAAGAAGAAAGAGATGAAGTTTAAAAGGGTACTTTCAGATATTGAAGACTTATATGTCAATAAAATGAGCAAAGTTCTTTCATAAAGCTGTACTTGGGGCTGAAAAAATGTATCATGGCAGATTGCTCTCAGAAAACTGGAAGAACTCAGATGGGGATCTCAGGTAATCAAGTCTTAGAACACCTTTTTTGCAGTTAAGAAAGGTGAATGCAATTCTGTTTCTAATCCAGCAAAGCTGGCTTTTCCTAGAATGGCTCACCTAGGATTTTACTTTACCCCAAGATACCAATGGCTCTTCAATTGCCCTTGTGTTTGAAGTCTATGTGTGGGGCATGAAAAAGAAGAATTTTAAACTTACTTATTGGGTGCAATGAACACTATTCAGGTGACAGAAACACCAAAACACCAAAGCCTTGACATAAGTATTGTATATAAAAGGTATCCATGTAAAAAAAAATTTGGACCCCCTTAATATTTTGAAATAAAAAAAGTATTAAGAAGATAAGAATTTCTTACACTGAATTTATCAGATGATCTAGTTTACATATCTTTTAGTCCTCAAAGTTATCAATTTGCTTGAGCTGAAAACTTCTAGAGATTTTGAGAAAATTAAGTTCTAATATACTCAGAAATAGGAAGGGGCTCTGTCAGCAAATATGTATATTTACTCTTGTTTATTGTTGCACACGTGACAAAAGATACCATTGCTGCCACAGAAACATGACTAAGCAATGGGGGGAAATATGCAATGCAACATTTGAGTTGTCAGTTGAGCTCTCATAGATTTTCGTATCTGTGATAACTTTGGGCAAAAGAACACTGTTCTCAGAACATCACTACTTAGTTAACTTTAGCAATTCTTTTTTTTATTTTTCCAATCATTACAAATGTCAAGTGCTCATGACTTTTGTATTGGTTCCGACTTCTGGTATCCTCTCCCTTTCCATATTAGCAGAAATTTGTTCCAGTTGATTGATATGAAGCATCATCATGCCCCCTCAGTTAGTCTAAATAAGTCAATCTAATTCATGTAAACTAAAGTTTTTATCTTTATTGAGCAAGCAGATGTCTCCACCAAGATGATGTGTTTATTTGAACTTGAATGACCAAATCCTTTAGCTCAAACAACCGGAAACTTCTTTTCTTTTTTTTCTTTTTGATCAAATATTTGGAGGACTTGACTAGTCATTGGCCTGTATGAATGCATTAATTTAATTAAGAAAATAGAACCAATTATGTAATATGCTCAGTCATAGGATGGAAATCACTTTCATTTGAAGCTCATTTCAAA